ACTACACCAAATACTAATCTCCCTATCACTTGTGCAAATCAAGTTTTTATGTTGTACGACGCGTCCCAGAGATAATCAGGTGTTATCGTAAAGTGCAGCCGCTTTCAGCCGTTGAATTTTGTTTATACTTAACGGGTTAATATTTGTCAATTTTTCTATTGATTGAAAGGATGAGATTTTCATATTTTGTTATTTTCCCAGCATGAAGCTTATGATTTTATTCTTAATTCTCCTTGTAAGGAGCACTCAGCAATATGGGGGGCACTGCTTGGAGCCTTAGGATTCATGGAGATATGGACCTGGTAAAGCTTGCTGCAAATAAATACTTTGAATTAGACCCAGAAAATGCTGGAAAGTGTGTGGTATTATCTAATGCTTATGCCACTTTTGGTTACTGGGATAGTGTTGTAGAGGTAAGGGAAATGATGAGGAGTTCAGGGATCATAAAGGAGCCTGGTTATAGTTGGATTGAGGTTCAAGGGGAGGTGCACTTCTTTTTAAGGGATGATAAATCTCATAAATTATCCACTCAGATTTATGAGTTAATCAAAGTAATGACTTCCAGTTTAAAGGATGCTGGCTATGCTCCTGATTTAAGCAGCACATAGTTCTATATAATTTTATTTTTTTGGTGCATATTGCAACAAGGCAGAGCTGCTTGGAGAGCTGCTAGGAGGTTCCAAAAACTACATGTTTTTGCTGCACTGTTGTGTTAAGATGTGTGAAATCTTTGGACCCCATCGAGGTATGGTGCATGAAAGATAACAAAAGTCACCTACAATCAGAAATCTCTCTGTTTAAGTATATTAATTGGGTGCATATATAGTTGGTTGTTGTGGGACAAACAGACAAGGGAGTTTCAGATTTTTATTTTCTTTCTAAACCTTGATATAGGTACTTGTACAGAGAATGGAAATGAACTGCCTAGTTATTGTTAATCACACGTTAGTACCTAGTGCATATTTTCCACTTAATTAGGAGGTTGTCAAATCTTCAGAATGCCAATATTAAAGTCAATATGGCTTATACTTGAATGAGTAGTTGTTGCCTAATGACACCCCAAATAAGGTGTTGCACTTCCTCAAGCTTTCCATGAGACCGGTTTGATATTTAACCTTCAGTTAAAGCAACCATAAAGAGATTCGCAATCCATTTACATGTACTTGTATGTTGTGTGTGTGTGTGTGTGTGTTTTGATAAGCATGCTTGTATTGTGTGTAGAGCTGTTTAGCAATTCAAGCAATTCATAATTTGGGCCTTAAATTCAGCTTATTCTATATGAGGTTGTTTTCATCTCTTTCCCCTTTTGCAGAAGTGTGACAGTAATAAAATCTGACAAGGATGCAAGATATGGATTGGATTCAATAGTGACACATGATGGAGCTAAACTTCCATGTTGGGCATTGGCCAATTTATCTTCATTCAAAGAAAAGTTTGGTCTTGATGCTTATGATAAGGTATTATCATACCAAAACTTTAATATCTGTATCAGAATAATAATAGCTTATTTGCTCAATATTGATTTCTAGCTACTAGTTTAATTGTATCTACGAAACAAAAAAGTGTAGGGCAGTCCAGACTGTACTGGACTGCACTACACTAACCTTGGATGAGGGTGAGCCCCCTGATATTGGGGGGCCCTCTCCCCATCCAGTGGTCCCTGTTCTACAGTCTAGTGCAGTCCCAACTTTAAAACAGGTTCCCTCTACAGAATATATGACAAAACAAGTTTGCTAGGAATATATTTAATCTACTGCCATTTCATCGAGTTTCCTTTTCCCCCATTACTAGGATTATACATTCCCACTAACATTTCATGGTGCACTCAAATATCCCTGGCAGAAGGAGCTTTGGTTCTGTGCTTGATATAATTCGTCTGGCTGATTCCGTGACAAAGTTAACTGCTCGATGTGAACTCTGTGGGAAACGAGCATTCTTTACTTTAAGGAAGACTGAGGAGACACAAACAGAATTGATCGGCGGGGCTGATGTCTACATGCCTGTATGTCGACAGCACCATGTCAATGGACATGGAGTCGTAGAAACTACAAGAATGGTCTTGGAATCTCAGAAACCTCAGTGCAGCTCTGTTGCATAATTCATAAAACCTTGCAACCGCAGCAGGACATCTAGGTCTTCCTACGACATCCGGCTAAACGTATTACATTGTCTTAAGTGGTCCACATGACATGCTTAAGATAAGAAATTGAATGTAACTTGAACTAGCTGAATGCCAACTACCAAGTGCTGCGGTCTTGATTAACTTTAAAAACTAAGATAGCAATGGCACGGGAAAATTGTTTATCCATAGTCTATAAATATTTTGGGGTGACTAATTAAGGACAATGTTTCATAGTTTCATTGCCATCGGAAGGCATCTATGACTATCAGTTTTCAACCAAGATGAAGGTTATCAGATGGCTGTATACTTTTTGCCCCTAAAAAGGAGAAAAAATGATGGCTGAATACAGAGAAAATAGATGGAAGGCAAAAACAGAACAATAAAAAGAACTAATAATCTCAAATCGTGTCATCCACCATTGTAGCCACAACTAGGGCTGTTACATAGTGGGTTATTGAAGTTAAACTCAACTCATGTATCTGATAAACAAATTGAACTTGAAAAAAAAAATAAGTTTGAACTTGAGTTCCTATAATTCTTGTGAACTACTTATGTATACTCACTTTAGAATTAAAAATTATATTAGATATTTATTTATTAAATTTAAATATATAATAAATTAAAAATTGAATAAGGTTAAGAAAGTAACTTGAGTAAGTTACATATTTTGATTATAATTATTAATAAAAATATTCGAGTGGAGTTTATAGTTGTTTTTTTTTTTTCATTTTTTTATTGTTGAACTTAATATATTTAAGTTTTTGGTATTACAATATTTTAAAAAAATATAAAAAATTTTATGGTTAAATAATTAATTATTGAAACATTTTAAAATTATAAAAAAAGAACTCAAATTTAAGTTAAAATACTTATTTGCTTAAGTTTATGGGGCATGTTCATTCAAACTCCCTGGAATACTCATGAGTTTAAGCATGAGTTCAATTATTTTAAAATGGACAAATACTCGAATTTAAAATTTTAAGATAATTCAAGCATAAATACCTAGGTACTTGATTAAACTTGACTCGTTAAAAGTTTTAGTTGCAACTTCTTTGAAAGAGTGGTGGCATCTAAATTTAAGATCGAAGACTTTACAATCTCATTCACCCATTCTCGAACTTTGCTAGTTCTAAGGCAAAAAATAAAAAAAGAAAAAAAAATAAAATCTCACTTGTATTGTAATAATGTTGGGTTAGTGGTGGGAGCTATTTTTGGTTAAACTATTAAAATATATTTAATTTAAGAAATTTTTTCAGGTAATTAGGAATAGCAGTCTTAATGTTAATAATTTTTAATTTAATTAGGGATCAATGAAAAATATATATTATTTTTATTTTGTAAGATATAGGTATTCCTTGATTATATATTCCTAACTTTCTATGAAAATTTTTAATTTTAATTTATTTTTATAATTTAACCAGGGATGGAGCCAGGGGGTGCAAGGGGCGGTGCCCACCCCCCTCGACTTTTGAAAAAAAATTAAATAGGTCCTATGCTTGTGAAAAAATGAAATAAACCCTTTTTGAAAAAATGGAATGGAGTATTATAACTTTTATTCTTTTATAGATTTTATGATAAATTACTAGTCACGTGATAAGTAAAATAAATTTAATAAAATATTTTTACTTATTTGACATGTTTATCATTATAATATATATAATTAATGATTATTTGTATCAATTAATGAAATAAAATTAATTTAAAATTGATATTATCAATTGTTTAAAACATTTAGTTTTCCTATTTGGATCATATTAAATTATTTTTCTGTGGTAAAAGTTATTTTTAGATTAAAATTTAAATACACATAAATTTCAATAAATTTTTCTATATTTAAGATTTTTGAATTTTTATTTTTTATATATTTAAACCTTAATCTTACTTCTAAATTACAAGTAAAAAAATTCAAATTTAGTATACACGCATTTCGCCCCCCCACCCTAAGATTATTTTCTGGCCACGTCCCTGAATTTAAGCAAGAAACAATTATTCACCACCAACCAAACAAGCCAGGTGTTGTGGTGGTAAGTTTTTGTCCTTTATTACTTAAAAATTATATAAATATTAATTGATATTTATTAAAATATAAACTATTAATTATAATTAATTAATTATAATAAATTTACTTTTCCAGATAAAACGTTGTGAGAAAAAGTATCATGTATAGTCATCCCAAACGAAGTCGTAGACCTTTCAATCAATTTCCTTATTTGCTATATAAAAATAAAAAAATAAAAAGAGGAGTTGATTCTATGGCCCAAAATCAGGAAAACCCTGGCCCAAAACCATCCGTCTGGTTCTTTTAATAATTTGGAGTCCATAAAAGTGAAGCAAAAAAGTCAGGTTCATCGTCTTTCCTTTTCTGGGTTTTGAAAAC